GACTTCCACAGCCTATAGCACAATTCATGTCGCAAAAAACCCTCTTTGTGCACATGTACTCATCATTAACGACGATATACTCTGAACTGAACATTCATATCTCCAACAATGTGAAGAATCTTCAACTATAAGTATGGAGAAACAAGAGTCCCTATGCATTAGCATGACAACATTTTACGATGACGGAGCATGACTTTAGATATAAAATGAGATTACAGACATGAGTTTGGACTTGAAGATCATACCTTATATGGTGTAGCTGGTTTTATTGTAGATATCTGGTTCACAAGCTTATAGCAATGGTGTGAGGATGCAATTGTCACATCACTGAGCCAAATAATGGATTTACAATGGCCGCATATAGCTCTGTATGTTGCAGACTTCCAGGTAACATTACCTATAAAAAGTTCCCATTATCAGAGAATTGATTTATATGTGCACATTGAAAAAGGAAAAAATTGGAATAAATCATGCTTGCTGATGTGACAAAAAAGGTAAATATCGAATCAACAAACATTGTATATTCAACGTGTTACCATCCTACCTCCCATTTGATGTCTTTCAGATATAATAATTGGTAAAATGTTAAAACATGAAAGAAACTGTGCAAAAATTCAGGATAAAACAGAGATTTAAGTGCCAACAAACTAGAAAGAAGGAACAGCACGAGAAATCTACTCGTGCCAATATCATACAAGAAGAAGGAAGCTTTTATTTATTATTTCATTTAAAGAACTGAGAAGTGAGAACTGGTTAGTTGCAAGAAATAAACAAGACACTATAGAATTTATCACAATATAGCCTCCTTGAGCTGCAAATTAAACTTGAAGGCTGCAGACTGATGCCTTTTATCATGGAAAACAACAAAGTGCATGCGGTAATAGGCAGCGGATAATGAAAAAGGAACCTATGCTTGACAAATTCAGAATCAGAGCTCATCAATTCTTTATAACATGCAACAAAAAGAAGGTTCTCATGCAACTTGGAACGACACCCATGCGAGAGATTGCAAAAAATGCAGCAGGACAGATTGAGCGGCAGATAAGGGAACTGCAAATTAAGTATAATATTAAATTTTACAAATATCCTTACCTTTGCAATGTTCTCAATATGATAAATTGTTTCAAAGAGAATTACGATTCTGATAATATTACAAACCCAATAAAGTATTACATGCTTAAGACCAAAACTAAGACAAATGAGAAGCAAAATTTTTGATAATAAACCAGAGTTAAATAAAATTGAATATCCACTGTAATTCCTTAGCATGTTGCAATGTTACATGCTCTGTCAAGTAATTAGTATTACTTATCAGTGACTAATAACCATTCTCATAATATCCGACTCTCGATGTACTTAATGACATTAGGGTCCAGATTAGGCATGTTGCTGTGTATTTAACATCCAGAGCCATGATTACTAGCTACTAAAATACCAACATGTTAACAATCCTGTGAGAAGAAAAACATACCTATATACTTTCTTTTAAAAGCCTCCCTCCAGTCGGTATTGCCCATCACATCTTCACCCTGCACAACTGGATGCGGAACTACTTTCTTTCCTCGAGATATATTCTGCAGCTGCGCTTTACTCTTGTCATCATAATCGCCAAACAGAAGGGAATACTGCAACTGCCATAGCATGTTATCAGCTGCAGCTGAATTCCATGCCCTTCTAAGAGAAGTTAAAATGTTATTAACTTCTTTTAGAAATATATTAAATCTATTGATTTTGAAAATACATCGGACAGAGAGAATACCAGCACACAGAACTGACATTTATTAAAGATCGCAAGTCCAAAAAACCAAAGATATGGACGAGAACATCTTGAGGAAGTTGCATTGAACCTGGATAAGAAAAATAAAGAAACACATGAGTCAGGTATTACAATAAAAACATAACATTTCTTAGTTCTCATCTTAACATAAACAAAGTAGAATAAAAGCTATTAGAAGAGCCAAAAATATGCACACATTGAATATACACGATGCAGGCTCTACTTTATCAGAAAAAGTTTCGACAACATTATTATAAGGTGATTATGAACAGGTGTGACTAGTAAAACTTAGCAGTCAATTTTACACAAGATTGATCTTCATGAAGGAATTATATTTACATGTGGCCCAAGATCAGCAATGCAAGAGCTTGTATGGGAAAAAGCTTTTACATGCATGAGCACTAATTCAGCTTGAGTTTTAACAGAAAGAAATCACATCTAATAAAGGCCAGTTTAGTAAATAGCACATTGCTAATTTCCACACATAGATGCAAATAAGTAGCAAGGTGTCCCCTTTAAAGTTCCCGTAACTTCGATCTGGTATCACAAGACAGTACATATTCCTTCTTCTGTAAAATATTAAGTATGAAATGTAAAAGGGCATATACCACCACTGAAGGAAAAAGTAAAACAGAAGACAGCAACTGGCAAGGATTTGTATTTGTCTGCTACTTTCATTTCACACGATTGACCTCACAGACTTCAGCACAACATGACTTTCAACTAATTTTTCAGTAGTTTGGAGTGTAATTCTGAATTTTGAATCAGATTGTAAACCCACTTTTCTGATGCATAACACTAAATAGGAGTTAAAAAGTAAGCACAAATTCTAAATGATGCTAGACAACCCCTGTACCATTTTTGTGACCACATACATGCATTCTTGTCATACATATGGCTTATGCGGATCATGGCCATTACCAGAACCATGAGGCCAAAAGTGTTCAGAGCATCAAGACCGAAAGAGGGAGGGGGGGGATATTAAAGTCGATTTGCATGTTTTACTAAAAGGGTTATTGGTTGATGAAAATGGAAGAATGCCAAAAGTTATTGAAACTGCAGATTTACTTTCTATGTTTGGATAGCATTAGCAATATGGAAAGCCAAACTGGTACAGAGAGATGCAAATTGCAACAAAATGGTACAGACAAATCAATGCATCAAATGCTCTGGAATTTGCATAAACATGAGGTTGTAACCCCCAACATATTAGCGGTTGAATTATTTATACAGCGGTTAAATACTTTAACATCCATAATGTCATCCCACATCAGAAAAGCAACTCATGTTAGTCCGAAGTTAATTCTGCAACAAATGTTGCATGTGCCAAACAAATGATGGACTTCCAGCTCGACCAATTCAGCAAGTGTAGCATTTCACATTTCACATGACATAGAGCCAATTAGCCACCAAAACAACTAAACAAGTGAATAGCTGTGCCAAGACATGCAAACCAAGATAAAGGGCTAACTAAAAACAAAGGGCTTAAAATGAACCAAAGTCAGGGTTATGCTATTAGGGACTAAACGAGATATAGAATTAAATGACTTTTAATTTTCAGAAAGCCTTTCAATTGCTGACAAACTTTTAAGATAATACCTCCATTTTGACGAGCTTTACCACGCCTCTTATGCGCAACCATAGCATGCTTGAACTCAGAAACAGCCAATGATCTTTTCTGCTTAGGAAACGAGGCTTCTGCTGCCTGGACAAGGAGGTTTGCTGATGAGATTCCATGGGATGTCTGCACTCTGACATTTATACACCAACTTAGAAAATATCATAAAAAGGTGCAATTTTCAACTAAAACATAACTGGTGGAGCGTAAAAGCTTGAAACAACTTAAACCAAGAATGTAATAAGTGCAGATAGACCCCCGTGGTATCGCCCAATTGCGGATAGATCCCCTGTAGTCCTATTCGTGCACACAGACCCCAGGGGGTGAAACTTTTTTGACCCTTAACAGAGTAAAAAAAAAGTTTTTTTGACTCTCAAAAGAGTCAAAAGGGGGGCAAAATTTTTGAGGAGGTGGATAAACCCCTTGTACTTTCTATTGGTGAGGATTGACGCCCGATTGCTAATTTATTTCAGCCGATAATTTGTCACAATTGGCATAAAGGAAATCGTAAATACAAACCTAATAAGTAATTGCAAGCCACTATTTGCATAAAGGTAATCATCACAAATATAAACCTAGGAGGTAATTGCAAGAGAATTAAACCCAAGTATAGCATGAACGGTGAGGTTATATTAACAAAAGATGAACTTTTAACGCAACGTAACGTAGAATTGTAATAAAATATATGAAATGACACAGAGAGCAAAAAAAGACCCCACTCCTAATTACAGAAATATAATCTTTAACAGGCTATAGCTCTAGCTACACAACCAATCAAGCTCGAGCTATCCACGAGCTATTCGAAATCCCCAAGATTGACGAGCTGGCAAACAATTGATATGAATCGCGCCAAAAATAAAGCGGGATCAACGAATCATCCACTAATCGAATTTCATCAATCTCAACCGGCCATATCAAGGATTAAAACACAAAATAATTAGAGAAAACTGAAGGGAGGAAGAGGCTAACTCCGGGAGAAGGCGGAAGGCCGAGAGAGTATCGCGAAAGATGAGGGCTTGGAGATTTTTGGGAAGCTTGGGGTATGCGCTCCTCAAAAGGAAGCTGAGCTCGTGGCAGGCCCAAGGATAATCGTAACGGCGACCTAGGGCATCGCCAAGCCCTAATTCTCCGTATCTCTTTACCGCTGTTGACCCTGACTCCATCTCCCCCTTTGGGTCGAGAGGCAAGCGAAAGCACCGACAACTGTTATTTATCGTTGGGTAAAATTTTAAGGGCTAATCCCCGGCGAACTTTGGGGTGTCTGTCTTTCCAAAACCCCTCCGAACTTTGAGCTTTTCTCACCCCACTCCCTCCCTTACATGCATTTGCAAATAACTAAAATTTTCGTTGAGAGAGAAAAAAAAAATTCCAAAATTTAAGACAGAGCATATGTTGCCTGTAAATGATAAATGCCTAGGTTGGGAATTTTTTCCCTCTTAAATCTCAATGAAATTTTAGTCATTTTCAAATTATATGTAGTTCAAAGTTTAGAAAGTGCTTTGTGAGATATCTCAAAATTTATGGGTTATGTGAGATAAATAAAGTTTAGGGGGTTTTATGCAATACGACGCAAGCTTCAGGGTATATGTGAAATTAACTCAATTTTTAACCGAATTAATTTTGCAGAATACCCCCTAAGTTTTAGGTGTTCTTGGGAAAAATTTCCAAGTGATTTGCTCCAACATGCAACGTGATTTCCTTTTGTATTCTCATTTATGCTAGGTCCTTGAGTCTTATTCGTCCTTCTCATCTTATGCAATCCGAGTTCAGAACTTAAAATGTAAAATTTCAACTTTTTTATCCTCTTTCATCGTATCCTAAAAACTCAAAAATCAAAAATAAAAATCACACTAAGCTAAACCCCCTAATTAATATATATTTTTTAATGTGATTTCTCCATTGTTATTTGATCATCTCATCAGTCCCAGTCCCACTTAAAGATTTGCCTAAATATATAGGAACATTTTAGGACTTTGGTCATTATGGATTAAAAAGGAGAATACTATAGAAAAAAGACATAGCTACGGCTGGTTCTTATAATGATTTCAAGTAATCAAATCGTAAGTAATGTGGACAAAGAACTGAAGAAGGAAGTAAACGAATATATAATTATTTGTATTAGATTTTACAATTAATCATATTCTAACTCGTTAATGGATTAGCTTATTAGTCATTTTGTAGTTTCTACTTGACAATCAGTACTGGATTCTTATTTTGTTCTTAAAGGATCAACAAGTACAGCACAAATTTGAAGTTTCCAACAACATCATAAAACACCATAGTTATGATCAAAACAATTGCATCCTCTCACTTCCACTAAGTACGTACCCTCTTTATGCTGAACCTTTTCAGCAAGATCTCCTTCATAGTATGTATACTAAACAATGCCAGTTGTGTGTAATCCTAAACTCAATCAATTACACAATCATGCAATACTAAACTTTCTATTCAAGGGGATATAGTTTAGTAAACATTGTTCTCCAATTATCAAATACATAATCTAAAACAATGAAACCAGAACAAATACAATACATTAGGCACACCCATCATATACATATGAGATGTCGAAAGAATATTATACAACATACTATCTTAACTACATTTGCCTATTTCTGTTTTCCTATCCCTCCCTTAGTCATGTTGATCTCCACAAACAAATAGGATAGGAACCAACAATCTCATGTCCTTTCTTCAACTTCTACCAACCATCTTTGCATTTTGTCTTGATCTCGAATGGGCATCTGTCCGAGTGTATTAATACATGTATGATTTAAAGGAAGTAAGACAACTGCTCCTTCTTTCTTGAACCACCTTCCCCGTATAAGTCATTCCATTGCCTTAGTTCGCTCATAACAGAACCTTCGGTAGCAAAGCTGGCAGAAACCTGCATCACAGAATTGATGTCAAATTTTGTTGAGATTTTAACCCAAATTTTATTTTATTTTTCGTTAAGTGTAATTGGAGAGAAGAAAGTAGTGAGAAAGAGATAACAGCAGAATGAAAGGAGTCACAACGAAAGAGGATGAAGAAAGAGATTTTGAGAACAGGTGTGAGGTACAGATGAAAAGAATCAGAATGTACAAGGCTGCTGTGAAGTTTGGTCACTAATCCCAGTCAGCACAAAAATACTACATTATGAACATGAGCTTGGCACAAGTGGTTAGATGGAGGAGCATGAACCATCCTGTTTCATTACAAATAGTATAATGGTGAATTGTGAAATTGACACAGGACGCGCAGGCTTTGCAGGATAAGGCATCAGATGCACCTATTACTCCAAGAAAGAGAGAAGTAGACCTACACTATTAAAATTCCACTAGCGGAAATACCACCATAGAACCAGATTTCCAATATTCACGAATTATGCCAGTTTATCAAGATGCCAATTCTGGAAAAACACACACGCACACACGCACGCGCGCGCGCGCGCGTGCGCGCGCGCGCACACACACACACACACACACACACACACATATATATATATATAGGAGCATACTTATTAAAAGAAGCTGTGTAAGCCAAATGGACTGTGCTCAAACTATGACTGAGGCTATTTTCATACAAAAATCCCTATCAGATCTTTGTGCGGCTATTATGTATATTATGTGGTTGGCGCGTTGGAGATTTTTTTTATAGATACTTATATACAGAGACCTATAAAACCTATGAATTGTGCATATACTAAAAAAAATACTTCTTTCCATCCCAACTGACTTTTAGATAAATGAAGATCATTGGAAATAAGTTAGAAAAACAATACTTACTTGATTCTTAGCCTGCCTCATGTCTTCCATGTTTAACGGCCTCAAAATAATTTCTGGCTCCACATCCTCCTTAGTTTCTGTTGTCTCTGCTGCACCCTCTCCTTTCTCAGCATTCTCCTTCTTCTCCTGATATCAAAAAGACGTTGCACAGTTGAAAATGTGAAGTAGATCAGATAAAACTAAGCAAGTTTATATTATCGATGCTAGTCTGAAGGAAAATTAAAATAGAATATGCTCAGACTGATCATTACCAGTTCCTTGAGTTTCTCCTTCTGAAGTAGCTCCCGAACAGGACGATATGCTGCTGTCGTGCACAGGTTCTGCCATTGCAATTCGTGACAAATTAGGAGTCAATCATTTTTAACAATAGTGAAATTACATTAGGCGAGAAACAAACCTTAAGATCGCTGCCACTGTATCCTTCAGTCATGGTTGCTAGCTCTTTGTAATCAATACCTTCTTCAACCTTCTCTTTTGACAATAATGTTCTCAAGATTAATTCCCTGCTCTCCAGCATCGGTAGGCCGACCATGATTCTATTCAATAAGATGAAAGGTATCAGAAGCAGGAAAGGAAGGGGGAAAACCTTGAACATGCTATATTATATGGAACAAACCTGCGCTCAAACCTCCTAATAATAGCTTCATCAAGATCAAATGGTCGGTTTGTTGCAGCAAGAACAAGGATCCTTGCACCGGATTTTGTCAGGATCCCATCCCAGTGAGACATAAACTCATTCTTTATCTTCCTCATCGCCTCATGTTCTCCAATTCTACTCCTATGCCCAAGCATGCTATCAACTTCATCCACAAAGATTATAGTGGGCGAAACCTTAGCAGCCAGTGAAAACAAAGCTCTAACATTCTTCTCATCTTCACCAAACCATTTTGATGTGATAGTAGCCATTGAGACATTAATGAAGCTTGCTCCAGCTTCATTTGCTATGGCCTTTGCCAGCATTGTTTTCCCGGTCCCAGGTGGTCCGAATAATAGTATTCCCCTGCAAGGTTTTAGTAGACCTCCTTTAAAGAGGTCTGGTCTTTGAAGGGGAAGCATGACTAGCTCCTGAAGAGATTCTTTTATATCTCCTAAGGCGCCTATATCATCAAATGTCACTCCAATTTCATTGGCTGGGATAACCTCTGATCTAATTCGCTTTTCGAATTCATTGTCTGGAGCAACTTCCTGTAAGAAAATTTATTAATGCTCGGGAAACTTAGAGACTGCTGGATTATCATTATTATTATGGGGTTAAACTTACAGGTGCTTTTGCTGGTTTAGATGATTTATCCGTTTCACTTTTGTTTTCAGAAGCCGCTGCATCAGACTTTGTGGCTTCTTCATTACCAACTTCCTACGAAACAACAAAAATTTTATTTAAAAAATTGATATTAGAGATTTCCACATTTTTTTACCATGTTTAAATTCAACACATAGATATACACACCTTTGACGATTCAGCATTAGCTTCCAGCTTTAGAGAGTCACTTTGCTGAAATAAACTCAATCCATGGGACAAGCTGTTTTATGAATGTACAGTTAGATAACAACAATATAAAGATTAGAATGTAATAGAAAATAAAATCCAACCATAGCACGCATTAACCAACCTCTTTGAAGAGATGACAAGCTTTCCATTTCTGTACTCAGGATCCTTGTTATTCATTAAATGATAGGAAACTGCTGAAATCACTATTTCCTCTATGTAATTGCTGAGAGTCATCGTATCTGCGAGACATATAGAGCTCAAATCATCACACTCAAGATCATTTGCTACAAGTACCTCTGCGATATGGTTTCTGTTATCCTGAATTTGGATCTTTTTCATGTCTTCCTCTAGTTGAGATTTCCAACATCCCAAGTGCATTTCATCCTCTGGAGGCTTGATCTCTATATTGTAAGGGAACAGAAGAGTTAAACTCTCGTCCACTTCTTTGAATTCGCTGTCTGAATCCAACAGCCTTGAACCAAGTATCAAAACTGGGCCTGATATTTTTGTCAACATCTTTTGAAACAAGGAATACATTCTTTGGGACCTAGACAGAAAGTTCTCAACGTCCCTTATATAAAGGATAGTAGGATTGATTTTGGAGATTGATGTTAAAACCTGGGCAGCAATGTTCAAGATCAGAAATCACAAACTATTGGAAACCATAAACAAAAAGTTAAAAGTTATGGTATCAATATCAGAATTAGAAGCAAACCAGCTTACTTTATTTCCTTATCCAGATAGGATATAAATTGATTGCAAACAACAACAAATGTCAACAGCATATGAAATTAGATAAATACCTTGTAAACTGATTGTAGGAGGACTTTCTCATCAAATGACCAGCTGCTTGTACGTTTGAGGGGAGCTGAAAATCAAGTACCATAAATTGAGCTGGAGTTAAGGGGGAAAAGAAGAACAAAAAATATTTAAGATAAGTTTGTGCTTTCTTTATCTCAACAGAGCCTTCTTAACATGGATTTGTGACCCATAGCTGACCCCATTGAATGAAATAGTTGTTAAGCTAAAGTAATTTCATGAAAATTAGAAAGGTAGAATCATGTGAATTAAACATATTCGAACTTCTAATATACCTTTCTTTGATAAAATAATATTGGTTCCACCAATAATTTGTGATCATTTTGCAGTGGTTAGTATAGAGTGTTTTAACTAATACTAGTTCATCGATAACATATCTTAGGAGCAAATAGGTACTTTTATATTTAATACCATTCATTTAGATTTATGTATTTGAACAAGAAAAAGGTCCAAGACTAAACCGACATGAAGATACTCAAACTCCTGCTTTTACTAATAGCCAAAAACACAGAATGAAACATGAATAGTGAAGCGACCTGGATTTACTGAACCACTTTGTGATGTGACATCATTCATATCAACTGAACAAGAGTCATTCCTGCGGATATTTGCGGTTTTACTGTTGCCATCCCTAAATATAAAAGTAGGATAAATGAACTATAACAGGACATAACAACTGAGTTATTATCGTGTACATAACAAGCAAATACCTTGCCCTTAAATCTGCACTGCTGCCTTGCCTACGTAATGGAACTGTTATAGAAGTGAAACTATCCCATAAGTGACAGCACTATGTAGACAGGAGAGAAAAAGAAAAACAGTTGAGATCATATATAGAGTTTCTAGTATTCTACAGAAAAATAGAAATGTGTTATAATGTTCAGATTTCAGTCCAGGGAAAAACAATCATTTTCTAGTTCAGCCATGACTTTACTGATCAACAATACAACATATCATTCAACATATGGAACTTAGTTTGACATTTACCTCTCCCTGTTTTACAGAGATCCAAAATTTGATGTATTTCAACAAATTTATTTTAAGCCTTTATCTATTATTAACTCCTTGAGAAGGGCCTTCTGCTGGTGATTTAAAGGACAATTTTATCTGCAATTCACCTCTGAGCTTTTTATGAAGCACCCATGTTCACAAGGTCATATAAGGTCTCAAAAGCCCAAAATTGGACTTATACAGAACATAAAGGAGATGATGATTTTCAAAAAGCACATGTTTATGACATTCTCTTCGCAAAATTGTTTGAAGAAACAAAACTGACATCAGGAGCTGTAACCTAAGAAAAAAAGATGTAACCAGGAAAGACCAGAATCTAGTTAACCAATTTACAAATTCAGGTACTATGCCCTATGAAATGAAGATAGTATATGTGTTTATATATAATCCAACTGATACCTTTAGGTTCCTCCCTTGGAGAAAGAAGGGAAAAGGATTCAAATAGACCAGACATTCTCTCAATTGCTGCCTCTGATATGGATCTTTTGAGAAGCTGTAGAAAGTAAATACATAAAAATGAGAAATTTGGCCTCTTAAAACCATTATAAGAACACATCTAGAGCAGGAATATGCATCAACATTATTCACAACAAACTCCATGTAATTCATCATTCAACTACATCAGGTGTGTAATCCGCGTCATCAACATGAATAAACCCAAGGTAATGTTTCAAACGAAATATGCATATAACTTCAAAAAATTATCATGCTCCTTCAGGAAAAAGGAGGAAATAAAGATTGAAAATATAGATAAACTGCTAAAATGAAAATATAGATAAACTGCTAAAATGTGCATCCATCAAAAAGAAAGACAGACAGATATTAACTCTGCAGGATTCACAAAATTCAACAGATAGAATAAGAAATATGTGATGATAAGGAAAGAATTTCTTACTGAATCTTTATTGCCATCACCATATTTGCTCTGCATCTGTAACAATTGCCAATTACTGGTGTTAAAATCATACACATTTAAACACCATTCAAAAGAAGGATTAAAACACTTAAATTTCATCTACTGACCTTGAGAGAGAAGTCAGTTATATCTAACAACAATAGTTTGGCCTCAAAGTGATGCGCTAGCGCCTTTGCAAGCATCTGCTGATATAGCTCTTCAAATACGTATCTCTACAATCAGTATGGAGCATAAAATATACATATAGCTAAAATGCTTAAATAGCACACTACATATTTCAAACTTGGGTGATTACCTGCAGGGCCTGAGAGTAGTATGGCTCGACTTGCAGGAGATAGCTTCCGAGTATACTTAGAAATTTCTGCTTGCTTTAAATGAACAAAGGCTGCACTTGTCAAGACAGCATGGGTTTGATCACTGCCGCAAAAGATAGGAACAATTAGAATAAACAAACTACATTGGTTACTGGATTAGGGGCATTTCAAACTTTTGAAGCAAAACTCGAAGATGTAGCTACAATGAAATAACCCTTTTCCAACCACACGAAGAAAATGAAATGAGATATAAACACATTGTGTAGTTTTTTTTTCCTCAATTGAGTTCAAGAAAACATATCAACACTAACTAACATCCTGTCTGTGTTGTCTAACACTTTCCCCTGTTCTTTTCTATCTTTTATAGCCACTTTGCACATGTTAAAGAATGAAAATTTTACTCAACCATATGAGACTGTGATAACATGAAATAAAAAATTTTGGTAAGCAGGGTAGAATGAGACAAACTTATGATATTCATTCGATATTTCCTTGTATAGAATCGCATATCCATATCACTTAAGCTAAATTGATGCCAATCTTTTCTTGAAAGACCTACAAAGCTAAGAACTTAAGCTTTTATGATAATTTAGCTTTCTTTTTCTGCAAAAATTCACCCCTTAAGAAACAAATTATTTACAAATATTCAAGATTCTCAAGGTCCTTTCCCGACCAAACATGTAACTGATTAGTTACCCATAAAACTCCACCCAATACTGAGACAAATCCCACAAAATGCCAAAATTGACAGCAGAACATGGCTCTGCATTAAATCCCAATTATTGTCCAACGCCCACCACTACTCTGAAATGGACAACCCAGATTCTCTACTACCCATTCCAGAATATTCTGCCGAACTACCAGAACCCAACAAACTTTACAGCCTTGTACAGACAAACCCCCAAACCCACAAAAAGGGTTCTTTCATTATAAATCCGAAGCTTTACCCTGATTTATTTTTACACCCACCGCTGTATTAGAACTTCTTTAAACCTAATTTCTGCATTTCAACAGATAAAGTACAGCAAAAACACTGGCATGAATTAGGGAAAGTGAGTTTAGAAATAGTTCGATGCTTGTATGGATTTAAAGAACGGATCGCTGGGGTTATAAACAAGCAAAACTAAATATCTGCAAGAAACCGAAATCAAGAAACCGTAAAAAGATGGATTTCATCTTTTCTCCACCTGAGATAGTACGGGAACCGATCGAAGCTAGCATCACCCTCCTTCCCATCGATAACTTGCTTCATCAGCTCCGCCTCCAGCTTCTCCGCCGTCAACCCCCCGGGCTCCGCCGAGCTCTGGGCCGTCCACCGCCCAACGCCGAGGCCGACCCCAACGCTAAGCCCCACTCCAAGGGCCGACATGAGAAAGCTCTTTTGCTCCATCGCGGGATCGTCGAAACTCGATCGAGCTCAGTTTGAAACTTTTACATGCAAAGAACTCGAAAAATGAGATGAGGAGGTGAAGTTGGGGGATATTTATAGGAGGAACCCGAGATTTTTGAGAGAGAGAGAGAGAGAGAGAGAGAGAGACTATGGATTGTTTGCGGGCTTGTATGGAGGCGTGGGATTGACGTGGACTCGAGTTGACGGGAGATAAAGTGGGGGAAAAGAGAACACGGTGGCAGCCGCGCTTCTTATTGGTGACGGTGGGGCCCGTTTTCATTTGCAAGTTGCGATGAAATCACATGGGTGCGCTAATGAAAATGGGTTTTATTATAGAAAGAGAGTGTGTCGTTTTGTAGAATGAGACACTATGATACCACTGTGACACCATAGCGTTTCTCTCTGTAGTCACTAGCAACTTGAGTCCAATTCAATACAATTTTAGCAGAATTTCCCCTTGTATATGAGAGGAGAAAGTAAGATATGCCTCTCTACTTCGAACTTCAATGTACATATTCTTCCCTTGTCTATGCGTAACTACTGCATTTTGTTACCGTGAGGTGTGATATAATTACACCGGTGATCGTAGAGTCTACGTATCTACTCAGATATACCCTTAGATCACAATTCGTAATTACACGGATGATCTTAGTGTCTGGCATCAGATGAATGTCGTTGCTGATAATTAGAGTTTTTTTTTGGTTGTTGATTAGGATCAGGTCTAGGACTCAGGATTTATCTTGTAACAAAGATTACCAACTAAAGTTCAATGTTATATATAATCCTAGTCTTAATTGTCAATAACCTTTTGTCGTAGCTCCAATCCTAATCGTGGTGCTAATCCAAAACTAGGACTCCACGCCACCAAAAAAAAAACAAAAACAAATGATCTTAATCTATCGTCAGGCTTCAGGGTCACTCGTGTAATTCCAATAAGTAATCTTAGGATTAGCCATCTAAATATACACAAACTCAAGGTCACCGTTATACCATACCTTGGGATATCATAATATAATTTATCCTGGTTACTACATAAGATATCTTGTCGCATATTCATGCTCTCCACAATCACCACAAAATTGCACTTAAAATGAAAAGGGCTAGCGGTGCAATCCTACGTTCAATCTTTTCAAGTAAAAGGACAACAACTAATAAAGGCCCGAGGGTTGGTGCGATGGCTTTTGCCACATGAGAAAGCCAAATAAAAATAATGTCACAATCAAAAAGACCCCCAAAGTTGAAGTTGTTCTAGACCTAATCAGCCGACCCAATTTGTCGGTGACATGCGTCTTTTCTTCAACCGTGGGGTGTTCCCATCCAAAAAAACGTTCAATATACGCTCCCAAGTGTTGTTAATTTTCTCCCTAGTTAAAACTTGTCATGCAGTAACGAGGAAGAAAGGAATAAAGTTTAGTGTTCATGTTTCTGTACAAAGGACGAGTGAGCTAAGTGGTTTCACTTTCAGCTCACCCACTTTTTGGGCCGCTCTCGATGACAAATCTTCTTTGGGCCGCTCTCGAGCAAGGTCTCCTGATTAAGATTAACCAAGAAAGGTTTTATCACCGATATATTATGCTAGGTCACAGTTCGCCTCAAAACATTAATTCATATATTAATGAAACTTGAAATTGTTGGCTCTAACAGTATATTCTCATGACAGCACGTTGATATATATCCTTAGGGGGTTATTGGTTGGGACAAATTGGGGCCAAGTGGGAAAATTATTCCAATGGAACAATTTTACCCCTTTGGGATATTTTGAGTGGGGTAAAGTGGGATAATAAGATAATTTGAGTTTTTGATTTGACAATTCATGTGGGATAATTGATGATGTGGCACCTTATTAAAATATAATTTTATCTATTAATTACTTCTAAATTAACTTATCCAATTGGTTTAGTATATTATTTAGTATATTATTATAATATAAATATTATTTTACTTTATATTAAAATATAATATATTGTACTATACTTACAAATTACTATTATTAATTATTATATTGTATTATATTATATTATATTAGCATGATATACTATATATAATAATTAATATAATATAATATCAATATATTTAATATAATATTTTAATAATATAATATTTAATATAATACATTATTTTATTTATACAAAAATATAATATGTTATACAATAATTACTAATTAACATTATATTAGTATGCTACATTATATAATAATTAATATAATATATGAATAATATATTTAATATAATATTTTAATAATATATTATTTAATTTAATATATTATAATATAGTATCATAGGATATAATGTACTTTATAAAATATTATAATATTTTACTTTATTCAATGTAATATTTTAAAATTTTATATTAAAATTAAAATATAATATAACATATATATATTACATGATAATTACAATAATATATATTAAAAGGTATCATGTTATAGTTAATATATTATATTATTTCAAACTATAGTATTATATTATATTATATCATAATATTTTACTAATATTAGTAATTATTATATTATATTATAATAGTATGTCATATATATATAATAACTATAATAATATTTTATAAATTAATTATATAATAATATATTATATAATAATATATGTTATTAAAATATTATATAATATTATAATAAATATGTTATACTATAATTACTAATTAATATTATATAATAATATATGTTATTAAAAATTTAATATATGTTATTAAAATTTTAATATATGTTATTAAAATATTATATAATATTATAATAAACACGTTATACTATAATTACTAATTAATATTATATAATAATATATTACATAATATTATTAATATATGTTATTAAAATATTAATATATGTTATATTTTATATATCATATCATATATTATAATATAATTAGCATGTATTAGTTAAGTAAATGTGTTTTCTTAAAAATAGGTCTAATTAAAACACAATTTAAAATATAGCAAGCCGTATTGACGGTTTCCGCCTAAAAATATTTTGGCAAATTAAAAGCATTAATAATTGTACGTGCCATCTCTTGTATGATTCAATTTTTTCGTTCAACAACACCATTTTGTTGTGATGTTCTTGGAGCGAAAAACGTATGTGTTATACCATGATGGTCACAAAAATTACTAAAAAGTTTATTTTAAAATTCACCACCATGATCACTTCTAATTTTAACAATTTTCAAATCCTTTTTATTTTCAATTTTTTTTACAAAATGAGAAAATTCTTCAAAACATTCATTTTTATTTGCAAGAAAAATCACCCATATAAAACATAAAAAATCATCAACAATAACAAATACATAGAATTTACCTCCTAGAGAGGTAACACGCATAGGACCAAAGAGATCAAGATGTAGTAATTATAAATGTTTAGTAGTGGATACCTCATTTATGGATTTGAAAGAATTCTTAATTTGTTTACTTTTGGCACACTCCTCACAATGAGAATCTTTGACATAGGTTAGACTTGGTAGACCTCTTACCATATTCTTCTTTGATAGCTTAGATATTTACTTCATGTGAGCATGTCCAAGTTTCTTGTGCCAAATCCAAGGATCTCCTCCTACCGTGGCAAGACACTTTACATCTTGATCTAAAAGCTCATTCATCTCAAAAATATATACATTAGTTTTTCTAAAAGCAACAAAAATAGTTTTTTCATTTAGGCTAATAATGTATTTATCTGGTTTAAAAATTATGTCATAGCCTTTATCACTTAATTGACTAATACTAAGAAGATTATGATTTAATCCTTTTACAAAATAAACATCATCAATTACGGGAGAAGGTGTTTTACCAATATTACCAATACCTATAATTTTACCTTTCTTACCGCCACAAAAGGAGACATTGCCTCCTACAATCCTTGACAGGGTTACAAATAAGTCCTTGGTGCCCGTCATATGATGAGAGCAACCGCTATCAATATACCACAACTCCTTACGTCTTGTGCGAGACGTTCCCTACATGTAAATAAGTTGTAGAACCTTTAGGTACCCAAACTTTGGGTCCTTGGATGTTAGTATTTTTGACACCCTTAGGTATCCACATCAACCCATAATAATAAGCATTATCTCTAAATCTACAATGTGTAGACGTGTGGCCATATCTCTGAAGGAAATCGTGCTATGTCTACATGCATAATACACAGCGGAAGACATGTATGTACAAAAATACTAAGCATGTAGAGAGCATGAAATATTCATATGGATCGTCTAATTAAATCTAACATGATCCTTATTATTAAGAGAGCATACAAGAGTTAGAAAGTCATACTTTCGTAGCGTGATTCGATGGAAGATCGAATAACCCCTAGCTCTTGCTCCTTGTAGTAGAAAATCTCCTTGTAGTGGATCTCCAAGTCTTCAAGTGAGCTTGATAAAATGGGAGTCTTCTTAAGACACAAGGCAAGATATCCACCCCGGGGTTCTTAAAATCCTACTACTTCCTCTTGCTCAAAGATTGCTAAAGTTTAGTAAGAGGAGAGCTCTCTTTTATTCTCTTATGGAAAAAAACACTTAGCCAATTTTCCATTAACCTTTCCATAAGAAAAAGAGCTCATATTTATAGAGTGAAATGTGTTCATGATATGAATGACTCATCCTATGAGTCATGCAATGAATCATCAAAAATTAATGATTAATCAAGTGAGTCATGCAATGAATCATCTTATGAATCATTACATTTCAAAACCATGTGCTAATAAACCATGTGCTCAAACCATACCACTAAGTGACTCATCTCATGACTCATTATACATGGTATGTGTATTTCATAAATGAGAATACCAAATTATTATCACTAATACAGTATTTCATAAATACGGTATATAGTATTATTCCAATCTTTAACTAATTAGTCACTATATGACCAAATAAATCAAGAGTTGACCAAAAGTCAACTGTTGACCAAAAAGTCAACTAGTTGACTAAAAGTTAACTTTATGGGAAAAATACTGGAATTCATTTCCTAAGCACATAGCATTCCGATTTTACCGATATACATAACCGTTTATGTGTATCCGGAAGAAATCATATATGCGTATCAATCATACGCATCACTCCATAAATTGTGTTTCATAGGATTCAAGTACGCGCTTGGTGTGACTCTAGGGCCCAACTTAAAAAACTCGGT